CTGAGTAAGGAGTGGTGGCTCTCCTTCAGCTCCATCCAGCCCTCTGACTCTGGACAGTATTATTGTACAGCTGAGAATGACCTGGGGAAGAGGACATCTGAATCTGTTTTAATCGACGTGAAATGTCAGTAAATCAACTTTAATAAACACTAATTTCTCTTGAACAGTTTCACTTCCTTCCTTATGTCATTATTTGTTGCATATTTAACATTTCCCTAGTTAAAGTGCATTGATGTCTAAACTAACTGTAAAATATGTCAATAATTCTTCTGAAGCATTAGGTAACTGTATTTTATGCAAATGTCTATATTGTTTAAACTTTTTTTGACAGCAACAAAAAAGCACCAAGAACACAAAAAACTTTTTACTGTTTATTGACATCACTGTGATGTTCCTGTGCTGTATAATCTGTCATCAGTGATCTACACCTCACATACAGGAATGACGACTACATAACAACATCATTTTACATAATTTTGTAAGGACTCACAATAACCATGATGGGGTCTGCTCATATATCCCGACAACATACAGACAGCCACAATACTTATATTCAGTGTTCTTATTAACATTAATTGATTTTGATAATATCGCCTGCAGATGCTCCAAAGCCTCCCTCTGTGTCAGTGCGTCCTTCTGGTGAAATCAAAGACGGCGGATCAGTGACTCTGACCTGTAGCAGTGAAGCTAACCCAGCAGCTACGTATGTCTGGTACAAGATAAGTGGAAGAACACCTCTTAGTGAAGAACGACAGCTTGTCTTCAGATCCATCCAGCCCTCTGACTCTGGACAGTATTACTGTATAGCTGTTAATAAATTAGGGAGGAGGACATCTGAATATATTTCTATTGATGGGAAATGTGAGTGGAACAATTTTTATACATTTTTCTCAAATCCACCAAAAACTTCTCTCTATGATAGTGAGATTTTTCTCTTCTTTTCAAGATTGTATTTACTTATTTTTTTCTCTTTTTAAAAATGTTATTTTTCTTTTTCATGTACTGCATCAGATGTCATAAGTCTTTGAGTGATGACTAGTAAATCTGCAATCTTATACTGTACCTCTGATGTAAAATTTGATAATAAAACACTAGAGTTCCAGTTGTTAAAATCTTTTTAATTCCACATCATTTGCCCAATGGTGGTTTGTCTCGCAGATGCTCCAAAGTTTGTGTCAGTGATGGTGAGCCCTTCTAATGAATTCAGGGAGGGCGGATCAGTGACTCTGA